AAAGAAAGTATTTGCTCCCTGAAGATAAAAAAAAGCAGACATTTCTTAACAAGCTGGTGGAGAGGTAGAGAAGAATGGTATGTTTAATATTCAGGTTAAGGTCTTCTCTAAGTATTGATTTTTAAATAATAAAAAGTGGAATAATAAAAATGATACTGTTGCTGCATATTGTGACAAAAAATGTATTCATGCAGAGTTGTAAAGTATCTGAGAGGTCTGCTTTTATCTGATTTCAGAGCAGCCCTTTGCTTGTTCTCAGTCTTTTCTGTTGATATACCGCAGTGTCTTTTTGATGTCTGTTCTTTTTCTTTTTATAACTGTGTCACATTGCAGCAAGAAGACTGAACCCAGTGGTTGGTAGAGGTTGTAAGGTGTGTCAGAATGGGACTTTATGAAACGCACATCTTGCAATAATATTAAATGATAATTGATATAGAAAAGAATGGAGAACTGCAGTGGACAGCAAGTGTGATGCCAGATGACTATTAAAATTTGGTGCCTTTCGAATCAGAAGAAGACCTCTTTCTATCTGCTTTGCTCATACTGAATAAAGTTTTTTATTTTTAGAACATAATCCTGCTATTGAAATCAAAAAATAATTTGCGCTAGTAAATAAATCACAATTATACCTATAAAAATTAAACACATTTTGTCAATATGAATCATGAATATATAAATAACTGATAAAAATATAAATAAATAAAATGAATAATATATATGTTTCCAAAAGAAGTCCAAAATGAGATGTGTAAATTCAAGTCCAAAAAAGGAGCACAAAAGTATAACAATCCACCACCAAAAACACTAAATGAACTCACCAGAGCTAAAAACTTTTGAAGCATATATTGCTCTGGGGGCGATTGGTTAGCAGAGTAATGAACCACTCATGGATGTGTCTTCAGGGAGTAATATTCTGCAGAACCCGGCTCCAAACAGACCAATGTAAAGGAGGCAATGCTCTGTGATCAAATACCACTAGGGAAATCCACTTCTCCAAGATATTATCTTATTCATATCCAAAGAGGTTATGCCAGACACTCGGAAGAAACAACAACAGCTTCATAGTGCAGTATTTTTAAAAACAGCTTCATTTATTATGCACTCATTGCACTTAACTCAAAAGGTGTCCCAGCCGACACCAGCATTAACAGCATATAGGAAACACAATGAAACGAACCCAGCCACTCGTCACATGCGCAGTGGATCACTGGGAAACGTGATGGCGTCACATCAATCGAAGCCCCGCCCTACGTGTTTCGTCATCGATGTCCTCACGGAGCACTTCCTATTATATCAGGCCGCTTCCTAGTTTATTTTGAAAGATTGTTCTGAGATTTCGTGGAGCTAGCTGGAGCTGTCAGTTGTTTAATAATGGTCAAATTTTTGTTGGAGAGATTTTCCATCAGTTCCTGTGTGGCCTTGAATTCGTGTACCCATACCTGTCTTTCTCAACCTCTTAACTCAAAGGAACCCTTGAAATAATTTTCAGGTCCCCGAGGAACTCCTACTAAACATAATTTTACTTACAGCTCATGGTACTTTGTAAAACAAACACCACCGGCCTATCAACACACACAAAGAGGTGCTGAATACCAATAAAAGCTTCAGATGTATGAATGTGGTGACTTCACCACGCTTCTGTCCTACGTGTTATGTCACGCACCACATGACTTCATCAGGGATAGCTATCAGTTATAGTTGTTGTGATTTGCTTTTTAAAATTATTTATAGTACCATTTATTTGCTTATCACTCATTATTACTTATTGCTTGCTGATTTGAGGGGTTGGTGGGTGTATTTGTTTATTTAATAGTTATCCAGGCTTTACTATTTACTTTATTTGTGATTCATTGATATTCTGATTTCTTTTATATAGTTTTTTATTGTGTTGCCCGCTGACTTGAGGGGCTGACGGCTATTACCTAATTTATTTACCTTTTATTTACTTAATATAGTATTTATTTACTGATTCACTTGTGAGATTGATGTATTTGCACTCATTTTTATTAGGTTGATATATCACAGAAGTTTTTATTGGTATTCAGCACATCTTGGTGTTTGATAGGTTGGGGGGTGTTTGTTTTTTACAATTTATATTTGACCTTTTTAGCGATCTAGCAGTGCAGCACTATATATATTTTCTTTACCTTTTTGCATGAGGGAACACATTTGGGTGCTGGCAGCAGCTCAGGTTGTTTAGTGTGGATTTTTGGCAGCACATGAAAATTTTCTTTTTATTATTATACAGGATTTATATAGCTCCAACAGTTTGTTCAGCGCTTTACAATATAAAGGGAGACAATGCAGCAACAATACAGTTCAATACAAGAGGGTTAGGAGGGCCCTTTTCATGGTACATTCACATGATCCGTAAATTTAGAAAAATCAAATAAAAACAAAAGAATGTGACATACCTTGAGCATGTGACACACATGGCAGTTTCTTTTTAGCACCCACTTGCTGTATGGCACAAAATACTTTTTTCATTATTATCCTTGAAAGGACATGAATAATAATTACAAAAAAGAAATGCAGATAGCCAAAATTATAGTGTCCCTTAACACTAGTGGTGATGTCCAGTAACGCTAGAGGTCCAGCGATGCCCAGTGGAAAATTTCAACTTTCCGTTGGTGGTCAATATGGGTGGGAAATCCATTTGCCACAGCTTAGAGGGGCTTCAGCAAAAATAAAAAAAAAACTGTAGCTGCTGACTGTTAGTAAACCGACACTCTCCTCTGTTCAAGGATAAAGTGCTGTCCTCACCTGGGCTGGTTCTTCAGTGTTCTCCAGGTCCTCCGCTCTGACATACAGTCAGGTCCATAAATATTGGGACATCGACACAATTCTAACATTTTTGGCTCTATACACCACCACAATGGATTTGAAATTAAACCAGCAAGATGTGCTTTAACTGCAGACTGTTAGCTTTAATTTGAGGGTATTTACATCCAAATCAGGTGAACGGTGTAGGAATTACAACAGTTTGCATATGTGCCTCCCACTTGTTAAGGGACCAAAAGTAATGGGACAGAATAATAATCATAAGTCAAACTTTCACTTTTTAATACTTGGTTGCAAATCCTTTGCAGTCAATTACAGCCTGAAGTCTGGAACGCACAGACAGCACCAGACGCTGGGTTTCATCCCTGGTGATGCTCTGCCAGGCCTCTACTGCAACTGTCTTCAGTTGCTGCTTGTTCTTGGGGCATTTTTCCCTTCAGTTTTGTCTTCAGCAAGTGAAATGCATGCTCAATTGGATTCAGGTCAGGTGATTGACTTGGCCATTGCATAACATTCCACTTCTAACTCTTAAACTCTTTGGTTGCTTTTGCAGTATGCTTTGGGTCATTGTCCATCTGCACTGTGAAGCGGCATCCAATGAGTTGTGAAGCATTTGGCTGAATATGAGCAGATAATATTGCCCGAAACACTTCAGAATTCATCCTGCTGCTTTTGTCAGCATTCACATCAATAAATAAAAGAGAACCAGTTCCATTGGCAGCCATACATGCCCACGCCATGACACTACTATCACCATGCTTCACTGATGAGGTGGTATGCTTAGGATCATGAGCAGTTCCTTTCCTTCTCCATACTCTTCTCTTCCCATCACTCTGGTACAAGTTGATCGTGGTCTCATCTGTCCATAGGATGTTGTTCCAGAACTGTGAAGGCTTTTTTAGATGTCGTTTGGCAAACTCTAATCTGGCCTTCCTGTTTTTGAGGCTCACCAATGGTTTACATCTTGTGGTGAACCCTCTGTATTCACTCTGGTGAAGTCTTCTCTTGATTGTTGACTTTGACACACATACACCTACCTCCTGGAGAGTGTTCTTGATCTGGCCAACTGTTGTGAAGGGTGTTTTCTTCACCAGGGAAAGAATTCTTCGGTCATCCACCACAGATGTTTTCCGTGGTCTTCCGGGGCTTTTGGTGTTGCTGAGCTCACCGGTGTGTTCCTTCTTTTTAGGAATGTTCCAAACAGTTGTTTTGGCCACACCTAATGTTTTTGCTATCTCTCTGATGGATTTGTTTTGTTTTTTTAGCGTAATGATGGCTTGCTTCACTGATAGTGACAGCTCTTTGGATCTCATCTTGAGAGTTGAGAGCAACAGATTCCAAATGCGAATAGCACACTTGAAATGAACTCTGGACCTTTTATCTGCTCATTGTAATTGGGATAATGAGGGAATAACACACACCTGGCCATGGAACAGCTGAGAAGCCAACTGTCCCATTACTTTTGGTCCCTTAACAAGTGGGAGGCACATATGCAAACTGTTGTAATTCCTACACCGTTCACCTGATTTGGATGTAAATACCCTCAAATTAAAGCTGACCGTCTGCAGTTAAAGCACATCTTGTTTGTTTCATTTCAAATCCATTGTGGTGGTGTATAGAGCCAAAAATGTTAGAATTGTGTCTGTCCCAATATTTATGGATCTGACTGTATTAACTGCGGGCAGCCAGCTGTGACTCCTTACAGCTTCACAGCCAGTTTACCACTGCGCATGTGCGAGCAACACTGCACTTTGTGAATGGTTCCACAGCCTTCTGGGACATGTGCCATATCCCAGAAGGTTGGGGGCAGAAAAGGAGGCGGAGAAGTTCCCATGGATCCGCCGGCGTAATTTGACCAGAAGTGGGTAATCAGATTTGTCAAAACCAGGTACCTGCCCTCCCTTCCCCTCCCAAAAAAATATTCCAAATGTGGCAGAGGAGGGGGGAGAAGAGTAGAACTTCCTCTTTTGGGTGAAATTCTGCTTTAAGGAACCCCCAGCAACCGCAGGAGAAACCCTGGAGTTCCGCACAACCCTGGTTGAAAAAGGCTGTTGTAAAGTATCAAAGCTGTGTTTTAATGACTGGAAAGCCTTAAAAAAAAGGTTGAAGTTTGAAATTCAAGTGTGTTTTCTTCAATGCTAAATGTTGGTGGGAAGAACCTATAACAAGGTACAAGTCATAATCTGTCTGTATTAAACTGTTTTAATGTTTTCTTTTAGATATAGAGAGCAGTGAAAAAATCCAGCAGAGCGGAATCCTTCAAGTCTTTGCAAGTCTTTTGAATTCACAATCGTCCTGCGCAGCAAAAATAGCTCACATCATAGCAGAAATAGCAAAAAATGGTGAGGTTTTCCAAGAGAACTTTATCTGCTGGAACATCTTCAGTTATTCATCTCATTTGTCAGTATGTTTTAATTCATTTTCATTTCATTTTCTGTTGTTAGAGCTAGTTCTGTTACTGCCATTCACTTTTAATTTACCTTTCTAGATATTTTGTTGTATTTTGTGTGTGTTTATCACATAAAACAACCTTTATGTGGCACTACAGGCAATCATTAAAAGCTACCTTTTAATCCAGCTTCATCAATCATTACAGGGAAATGATAAAATGAATTTTGGTCATTGCTATTTTATTTATTTTACGTTGCTGTTTTATGAATTGATGCTTTATACCTTTTTTAATTATTTGAATGAAAACTTTATAACTAAAGGCAAATTTTTTTTTTTAAGATAGAGAGGAGAGGGGGTAGAAAAACTGTCTGTGACCTCATTAGGGAGACTGGCCCTCTATATTTTTGTCCTGTTTCCCATTATTGCAGAGAGTAAAAGTGAAAGAAATTCCAGTGTTTTGGCTTGTCCCAAGAACAGGAATAGAGGGGAAATCTTCCAATGGGACACTAGTTCTGGTGACATACTGGGACTCCCTCACATCCTATTTTGGCTATGGGACAGAAAGTGAAATTTCCCCAAAGGAACAGTATTGAAAAAAAACAAAAAATAAAAATACATGACAGTTTATGCATTATCCAGGCTGAAAAAAAGTTTTGCCTTTTAGTTTTACTCGAATTTATGTTCTCAAATGAAATTGTTACATTTTATCAAACATATTATCTACAGCAATTTTAAGTTAAAACACACATTTTCAGTCAGGTGACTTTTTTTTTGTTTGAAAAGCTTTTTTTTTTTTTTTTTTTTTTTCTTTTAAAGCTCAGTTCCAGGCAAAGATACTGTATGTTGGGAAAGTTCTGATATGTGAATAATTGTTATTCAGGTGTAAAACATTTCTTTGGGATGGATAGTACAACTCACTGTACGTCCAGCCTTCTCCAGATATGTGAGTTGTGAGTCTCATAGACTGCAGCACTAGTGTTGTTTTTCTGCCCTCCTCTCCCCCTGGTCATGTACTAAACGCTGTGTATGGCCAAGCCAAGGCAGTAGCACTGCAGTCTGAGGCCTCTCAGATTAGGAGTTGGACAGGAATACAGCAGGGACTGTACTATCCAGGATAAAGAAAAGTATTGATTTTACAGTACAATGTAGCAGTGACACTAAGTGACTTCTGGTTCTTTTTCTGTGGGATTACTGAGTAGAAGTATGTGTGTGTGTACGTACACACACACACACACATACACACACTTTAAAAAGTCTACACACCCCTATTAAGATGTCAGATTGCCGTGATGTAAAAAAATGAGTCAAAGATAAATAATTTCAGCACTTTTTCCACCTTTAATGTAACCTATAAACTGTAGAAATCAGTTGAGCAACTAACTGAAATCGTTTAGGTAGAGGGAAGTAGAAATAAAAAACTAAAATAATATGGTTGCATAAGTGTGCACAACCTTAAACTAATACTTTGTTGAAGCACCTTTTGATTTTATTACAGCCCTCAGTGTTTTTGGGTATGAGTCTATCAGCATGGCACATCTTGACTTGGCAATATTTGCCCACTCTTCCTTGCAAAAACAGTCAAAATCTACACACACACATATACACATTTTGCCAAAAGTATTGGGACACCTCTCCAAATCATTAGATTCAGGTGTTCCAATCACCTCCATGGCCACAGGTGTATAAAATCAATTACCTTGGCATGCAGACTGCTTCTACAAATATATTTGTGAAAGAATGGCTTGCTCTCAGGAGCTCAGTGAATTCAAGTGTGGTACTGTGATTGGTTGCCTTCTGTGCAATAAGCCCATCTGTGAAATTTTCTTGCCACTGGTCAACTGTTAGTGCTATTATAACAAAGTGGAAGCAACTGGGAACAACAGAAACTCTGCCACGAATTGGTAGGCCACATACAGAATGGGGTCAGTGCATGCTGAAGCGCACAGCACGCAGAAGTTGCCAACTGTCTGCAGAGTCAATAGCTAAAGACTTCCAAACTTCACATGGACTTCAGATTAGCACAACAACAGTGTGTAGAGAGTTTCATGGGATGGGTTTCCATGGCCAAGCAGCTGCATCCAAGCCTTACATCACCAAGTGCAATGCAAAATGTCGGATGCTGTGGTGTAAAGCAGGCTGCCACTGGACTCTAGAGCAGTAGAGATGTGTTCTCTGGAGTGATGAATCCCTCTTCTCTGTCTGGCAATCCGATGGACATGTCTGGGTTTGGCGGTTGCCAGGAGAACGGTACTTGCCTGACTGCATTGTGCCAAGTGTAAAGTTTGGTGGAGGGGGGATTATGGTGTGGGGTTGTTTTTTCAGGGGTTGGGCTTGGCCCCTTAGTTCTAGTGAAGGGAACTCTTAAGGCGTCAGCATACCAAGACATTTTGGACAATTTCATGCTCCCAACTTTGTGGGAACCGTTTAGGGATGGCCTCTTCCTCTTCCAACATGACTGCGCACCAGTGCACAAAGACATGGATGAGCGAGTTTGGGGTTGAGGAACGTGACTGGCCTGCACACAGTACTGACCTCAACCCGATAGAACACCTTTAGGATGAATTAGAGTGGAGACTGTGAGCCAGGCCTTCTTGTCCAACATCAGTGCCTGACATCACAAATGTGTTTCTGCAAGAATGGTCAAACCTTCCCATAGATACATTCCTAAACCTTGTGGACAGCCTTCCCAGAAGAGTTGAAGCTATTCTAGCTGCAAAGGGTGGGCCAACTCAGTACTGAATCCTACAGACTAAGACTGGGATGCCATTAAAGTCCATGTGTGTGCAAAGCAGACATCCCAATACTTTTGGCAACACACTCGAGTTGGGTGAGGGAATGCTCTCTGCTGTGTCATTGTATTCTGTCGGTGTGGAAACTTCCCCTCTGCCAGAATACACTGATCAGTGTTGCAGACTATAGCCATCCCAGAACATGCATTTTTGTGATTTTCTGTAAGTGAGTTTCCATTTTTATTTTTGTTCAACAGTTTTGCAACAGTTTCATTTGTCTTGTATTTTTAAGATAAGCCTGCTACTGCTATACCTAGAAGGTGGATACTTTTTATGGTGCTGCCACTGAAATGTCTGTTTACGTTGGCAGACAATTTTTTGAAAAGTTTTTATGTGCCAAGCAAACTGTAAGTGAATTTGTTATATTTCAGAGCAATTGCGCATTCCATGTGTGGACGGGGGCCTGATTCCACCGCTTGTGCAGCTTCTGAACTGTAAGGACCAGGAGGTGTTGCTCCAAACGGGACGTGCTCTTGGGAATATTTGTTATGATAGCCGTAAGTATTGTATGGTCTTGGCATTTTGTGTACAATGAACCTGCTAAAAGATTGGTCTGGATGGTTGCTCCTTTGTATAGCAAATAACACTCTATATTGGCTCAGGGGACAATATATTGTTTGCCAACAAAATTTCATGCTGGCCACCACTTTGTGTTGCTGAGGATGACTAGTGACCCTGTCGGGAACTAGTAACCCCCATTGCACAGAGGTAATCATCAAATGTTTGGACTCAGTAGTGTTGAGCCATAGAATAAAATGCTCTTCATTAAAGCCACATATTAAAGACAGAGCAGCTTCTCTTGGAATTTTTTTTTTTTTTTTCTGTAGGAGCTGCAATGTTAGTACTGGTTTTAATAGTCTGTGTTCATTAAAGGTTACGTTAATTGAAAGCCTCACCTAGTTTATCGGCATGCCTGCTCTGCAGTGCTGTACACTAGAAAGAGACTACTGAAACCAGCACTGAATTTGTGTGTGAGCCCACGTCCTCACACCCCAATTAGATTTTTTGAAAACTGCCTTTGACTTGCATGGTGTCGTCCTCTGAAATATGGTCTAATTATAAAATAATATAGACAGATCATGAAAAGAAGAATTTTTGTTGTGATATTATGTCTGCTCACAATGTAATATTGTAAACCATTGATTTGCACTTTTAATTTAAAATAGTAAGGGTTGCCAGAATGTTAATACTTACAATTTAACACACCTAATGTCTTTTGCATGAAATCTAATTTTCCTTTTCCATAACTGCTTTTCAGTGTCTTTTGTTTTATGCAGCAAAATTTCTTCTGATGAATATCAGTTGGCATGCATGGACCTGACTCAGCCATTTCTAATATCTCTGTTCTTTTTCTTACTGGGACAAGCTTATGAATGTAGTTGGGTGCTCATCAGTCTCTTAGCTATAAAGCTGAAACAATACCTTTTTGTTAGTCCAGAATATGCCATTTTACCCCAATCTTTCTGTAAAATAGCGCTAAGAAGCAGATGTACATCTTCTACTCCGTTGTGTAATTGTGTACTTTATTTTTCCACTCTGCTCTGTTATCTGCCTGTAAATTATAATTCTCCAGTGCTTTGTTCTGCTGTATCTTTTTAAAGTTATGTTTGCGAAATAACTTACCATGAGACTGCAGCAATTCACAAGCCTTGCATAAAGACTGTCTAGCAATGTCTACTTTCTCAACTTAATTAGGAGACCGTTAATGCTTTGCAAATGACTGAAACTCTATATAAGACTGGTTGTCGCGTCATTTATGCCTTCTGTGTGTATCAAAATTTTCTATGTAAAATTGGAATCCTTTAAGTGACCTGAATGTGCTGTAAAATGTGTCTAAGGTAATAATAGTGATAATATTCAAGCAGCTAATGTGGACTTCAATTACCTGTGTTAGTTTCCAGATGATGAGTCCTGTGCTTCCTAGTTCTAGGCTTTAGAATTTTTCATTTAAGTTGTGATTAGTGCTAAAAGGGAGGAGGCTTAACTAAGCCCACTTACATTCTATTGTCGATTGCCAGAACCTCAGCTGGCATCTTTATGGTTAAATTGCAGTGGGCAGACTTATAGCTGTAGCTTTACCATATACAGTTGAGTTTAGGATTAAGGGGCTTTCACTGGGAACAAGGTTTTTTTTTTTTTTTTTTTTTTTTTTCTATTACATTCGACTGGTGGCGGTGGTGGGTTTAAAAATAGCCGATTGAGCCACACCATAATTTTACTGCCACTCAATTCCTCCACTTTTAAGCTGTAAAAGGTAGCCAGACTAGGGTGTACATATGTTTTGTGTTGTAGCACGCTGAAAATGATCCTCCTTGCTCCATTCGACAGGCAGTGCTGCCACTCAACACAACATGAATATGTGATAGCCATGCAAGGCTGAAACTTTAGTCGATTTCTTCCATCTGCAACACAGATTTATAAATCCATTTGAGCCAAGACAGTGACTGAATCCTATCACATGCTATTAAGCCCGGCCATACATGGGTCGAATTCCCAAAGAAATCTTTTCTAAGAATTTTTGTCTGAATTTCCATTAGTGGGCCAAAGCAACGGCTGATTTTCGAGCAACCATCGAGTTTGAGTGATCGGGCATGTTGGCAATTTTTTGAAAAACCAACAAATTTCTAACCAGTGATTGGAAAATCGTGTGAGAAATATAATCAAAAAAGAAATGAGCATGAGCTGTGACCTGGAAACAAAAGAAAATTCTTGGCCACAAAAATTCTTTTCTGTAACAACATGAGGTGAAAATAAAGGCTTGGTTGGTTGAATTTCAAAATCAATGGTGGCACCATCTGATTGCTAAATGCACAAAAATTCTGACTTTCTAAAGAAAATTCCTTTGGAATTCGACCCATGTATGGCCTGCATAAGTGTCCTGGTTTTAAGGCAACAGCTGGTGTCTGAATACAATAGTGGGCAGTGAAGATTCCTCCACAGTGTTTAGAAATGTACACATGTATAGCTAACCCTAGAGAAAACTGGAGAGAGAGTCATAGAAAACTTTTGATCTTATTTCTTGTCTTTGTACATTCATGATTTTCTAGGTATGGTTCCATATGTACAGTCAGTATGAAATGTATTTTTGGAATGAGGCTTTAGATAAATCAGTGTTACTATTTGGCAATGGGCTTCGTAGTTTACTTACGATTGAATAGTGTGTATCACACAGATACCCTTTTTCAGCCAGAATGCCTGTAGCAAATTCTGCTGTTAACCTTGTGGTATTATGCTGGCAATAGATGGATCAAGATTCATCTGATTCAGCAGGGACTGCTCGAATTTTGATCTGTGTGTGATTATCCGTGTTGATTGTTGATAGACTTTGGTCAAACTAAAAAGTTGGAAATTTTGTCGATCACCATCTGCAGCCACTGATCTGTGTATTCTGACAGTAGTGGGAGGTCAGACACAGTGCCCGGGGGGGGGGGGGGGGGGTTGACTGAACAAAAAAAAAAACATTTATGTCCAGCTTTAGCAGTAAATTTTTATGACTTGTTCTATTTCCTCTGAGTGAGGTACAGCATTATGATTGTATTTAGTGTATATGGATTACTAGTTAGCTGTCAAATCTGATAACTCAACTTTTTTTGAATTCTACTTCTTACCAGTATCACATATTGGTTGGGATCAATTTTGTGTGGCTGCCAAGTCTCAGTCAACAAAGTTGTCAAATTATTGACAGCAGGACTTTTTGTGTTTTTCCTTGAAGCTCAACTTCAGAAAAAAACTTTTTGTTTTGCAAATATGAAGTACTTCTGTTAGCTTTTATTGCAGTCAGTTACACCATCAGCAAATATTCACTTGTGCCTGCAAAATTAGGCCACAAAAAATGAGTTTGTGGGGTTGTCACTGGGGCAGTGGAACACAGAGTAATAAAACAACCGAACAAAGGTTCTAACTCCTCTAATTTTACTGAAAAAAATGTTTTGTTCTTTTCCCACCATGACGAAAACTAAAAAAAATTTAAAGTTTTGGCTAGGCTTGGACAACAGCAAGTCAGGTTCTACCTTTTCATCTTTAAAGTGTATCTTCACCTTTACAGAAAATCTGTAAAGTGACCTAACATTGGACCCCTTCCAAATCCCCCCCCCCCCCCCCAAACTCCTGCTGTACTGGAGTCCTAGGATCCTCCACTGTCACACTCTGGCATGCCTCTTCACCAGTCCAGGGTTCTGTAATCCCCGCGGCATAATCTCTTCTCTGTACTGCTTAGCCAGTACGGACCAGAGGGATTCTAATTGGTCAGCCCTATCACATGGATGGCGCTGGTCAATCAGATTCCATCTAGCCCGTCCTGTCAGCACTGCAAGGAGAGGAGAGAAAAGCTGTGGGGATTTAGAATCCCCGGACTGATTAAGCAGCATACCGGTGTTTGGCAACAGAGGACCAGGGGGATGGGAGGGGGTTCAGTGTTAGTTCTTCTTTACAGAAAATCTGTAAGGTGACCTAACATATACATCTTGGAGACGGCAAATAATAAGGTCTAACCAAATACATTTGGCAACACTTCAAGCCAACTTTCATTCTCTTGATCATATTTTATTTATTATTATGACTGCACAGATAAAAACCAACTAAAACCGGCAAATCCTGACCCAAAGGTAAGCTCACTGATTAAACAAATACACAAAACAAAATAAGTGTACAAAAAAACATTGATTCCTAAGAGAACCTAGAGATTCCATCACCCTTCACATTGACATACAGAGTATTTGCCCTAAGAAGGGTATCCAACTTCTATGCTCTTAAATGAAGACCTCATTAGTTTAGTAATGCAAGAAAGCTGCTAGATGCTCACATTGAGATATAGTAAACACTTGTCCCATTCTGATTTCACATACCTGCTTGTCTTGCATTATAGTAAACTAGCTCCCTCCATGATTGTGGATCTTCCTAAGGCCTCAAACCTAAAGTGTTTTCAGTTGTGAAGTTTACAAACAAAGCTTGGATGGTTGTGCACTAGCCTACCCCTACGTCTCTCTTGGTCAGTATATGATGATATGAGACCTCATTGACCACTAAGAGGAATGGGGGGGTATGGGCCAGAGTACAACCATCCAAGCTCCAACATATTAAAGTGCCCTTTGCTACATGCTCCCATAGTGCTCAGGTAATTACTATGTGAGCAGATACCTGGAGGTGACTTATATATAATCAAGGGTGGCAGTGGATCAAATTGGAAGAGTGGGACAGGTTTGCTTTTGATATCCGATTTAAATATTTGTTAAAGAACTGCATAATGTTCAATTTTAGCGCAGTACATGGAAAACAATGGTTTTCTAGCCATAGCTTTCTACACATAGTGTTACACTGGATTAAATATACAGTTAAAATTCAAAGCTAGTATTATAACGAACACTTTAAAGGAAACATTTGCTGAGAGAAATATGTAGGCTGTTCTTACTGCCCTCCTATAAATGCTAAGTGCTTGGCAGTCATGCTTGATCTTCAAAGCATTTTTAGTTGCGGACCTAGAACATGCAGACGATAAAATCAGAACAGCTTATGTGCATACTTGTTAGGTGTCGGTGAGTGCGAAAGTCATTAAAGCTGAACTCCAGGCAAATGGCTAAATGCACAGATATAATACATATACAAGAGTTGTTTTACTTGCCAAGGGATTGTTAATTGTGTCTATCCAGTTCCGAAATTTACACAGCCATGCCACTCAGCATCTCCCTATATGGCAGGGGAGGGGACCTGATATTTTTCTTTCCAGATGTAATACTTGCAGGTCTCCTTCCTGCCCCAGCTTGTGACTGGACAGTGAAGGAGAAGCAGCACATTGATGAGCTCATCTCCCTGTCACTCTGCTCTCTCCTTCTCTCAGCATGTTTCTTGTTAGCACTTAAACTGGCTCATTGTGCTGTTTTTTCCACTCCCAGTCTGAGCTATGCTGCATATAGGCTGAGTGTAGGCCCAATTCAGTCAAATTTAGGGGCTTGCATTCAAAGTAAATGCATTTAATGGTGTGTTAATAAATACAGAGCTGCAATAATTTTGTCTCTTTTATATTTGCCTGGAATTTTGCTTTAAATCAACATGACTGACAGTCAGCAAGCATTATCAGGAGAAGTCTATATTTTATTTCTCTCTGCACAGATTGACATATTGGTAAATCACAGAAGAGCGTCTTTTGCCCAGTAATTTAAGGTGTTTTTTGTTTTCTTTTTGTTTTTTTTTTTGGTCATTAAAAGAGCAGCTTTCTGTCTTCCTCCTGACCGAAATTCACATGTGCCCCTGGAATATTTATCTGTATAATATCAAATGAGGGTTCTGCTAACGGAATGCTTTCTATTTTAATGTGCCTTTTTGTTTGTTTCCAGATGAGGGCAGGCACGCGGTTGACCAAGCGGGTGGTGCAAAAATTGTAGTTGACCATTTGCGGTCAATATGCACTTTAACAGATCCAGCAAATGAGAAGCTCATGACTGTCTTTTGTGGCATGCTGATGAACTATAGCAATGAGAATGGTAAACTAACCGCTTTATCCAGATCCACATACTATAAAGACAGCTCAACCTACGAGCTGAGCATAGAAAATACCTTCACTTCTGAATTTAGCCTCTCACTCTGCTGCCAAGCTTTTTACTCTCCTATGAACAACTTTCCGAGCACATTTAGAGGTCACATTCACACACGCTGGTGAATTGGGAGTGGAAGGGAAAAAAGCAGTAGAATTGATTTTTCAAAACCTGTTTTGATTTTCTTTTGAAGTCTTAAAATCTGGTGTCAGAATGTCTGCAAGAGATCTGAAGTGTTAAAATGTAAAATAAATTCCCTCCTATACTATGCTTTTAATTTGAGTTTGAGCGTTGTTCTGCCAGATGGATGTGCATTGAATCTCGGAAACAATCTGTTCCATGCCCTGCTGTTCTATGGGGAATTCTATGCAGTTAGTCTAATACATGCAGTTGTGTGCTGACCCAGTAACATGCCGCATTCTCTCCTGTAGGTGACACAAGTGTGTCGATTTGCCCCTACTTGTCTTCAGTTCAAAGTGTAATGATTTGTTTTATCAAAACCAAATAGATATGAAAAAGGCTTTAATTGGTAATGTCATTTATTCCCATTCATCCTGCAAAATCAACATTTATAGCAAAGTTTTTTTTTTTATCTGTTTATTTATTTATTAGTACTAACGTATGCCAGCATTTAACGTGTGACAAGGCCATTAGAAGGCATTAGGGAGTTTGTGTAGGGATGTTAGAATGAACACAATCTCTTGTGGTAGCTGTGTACTGAGGCAGTGATCAGTACAGTCTCCGTTGACTGGGGTTTAGATTGTATGATTGTGGAATCACTTTTTTTATGGTGCAGAGGTACATTTATGGCCATTCTGGTACCCTTAGCTATCCTCTCGAATGTCTACAAAACTTTTTAAAGTGATTCTTAATATTTAGTTATGTGCACTTTAAAGCAGAACTGTAGCCAGGCTACAGACATTAAAATACAAATCTATTCATAACAAACCATGCATACAGTTTAGAACAAGCCCTTGTTGACTTTTGTCGTTATCAACAATGTGGGGAACTATTCATCCTCCAAGTTTTCAGCAACGATACTGCCATTTGTCACAAAATCTCATTTTGCTCTTCCCTGCTTGCAGTGAGCTGGCAGCATGTCATTTGTGTGGAGGAATTCATCCTCCAATGTTTAAAGGGAAGCTGTGAAGTAATTCACTGGAGTCTTTGCTTTCTGCTCTCTCCCCTCTTCCTATGCTGGCAGGCTGCCATCTCACTTCTGAGATGGAAGAACAAAATTAACTATTTAAAGGAAGTGAAATGTTTGTTCTAAATTAAAGTGATTCTAAGCCTATTTTTTTTTGTTCTTCTAAATAACAAACCTGTTATACTTACCTGCTCTGTGCAATGGTTTTGCACAAAGCGGCCCCGATCCTCCTTCTCAGTCCCCTCCCAGTGCTCCTGGCTCCTCCCCGTGCTGAATGCTTCCGCAGCAGGCTGCTTGTTATGGGGGCACTTGTGTGGGCTCAGCACAGAGCTGCAGTCTGTGTGTCCATTGACACACAGAGCGTGTCTTGGCCCTGCCCCCTTTCTCTCTCTCCTTACTGGCTGTGATTGACAGAAGCAGGCGCAATTGGCTCCTCTCTGCTGTCTCTGAGCCTATGAGGAAGGAGAGAGTGGAAAGAACCTCTGCTCTCGTGCACAGCGCTGGATTGAGATCAGGCTTAGCTAAGTACAAGGGAGTGGAGTGGGGGGATCCTACATGCAGAAGGTTTTTTTTTTTTTTTTTTTTTTACCTTTTAATGTATAGAATGCATGAAGGAAAAGAAAGGATCAATTTATCACCACAGTGTCTATTTTAGAAGGTAACATTGAATGCCAGGTCCACCTTGTTTGCCAGGCATTCTGCTTTTCACAGCAGTTGCTGCTTTCTTCATAAAGATCTGTGAAAACAAAGCGGGGAGGGAGAGGGTGTATCACTTCTCTGTTTTGTTTAGCTGTGTGTGTAATTTGGATTTCAGCGAAGGCTTTTCTTAGAGTAAAATAGCTTGGTGAAACTTTTAAGAAGAGCATTGAACTCCACCTGATTTTTTTCAATATCCCATGCTTATCTGACCAAAAAATAAAACTCTTTACAAATGTTATTTTTAGTGTTGATTATTTTAAAAATATATATACACAATCAAGTTCCTGAAATAAATATACTAGGGTGGATTTACTAAAGAAGTAGTGCATGTTTACTTTGCAAAATTACTTTTCTCTTTTCTAAGAGATTAAGGTCAAAATTCACATTGCAAAGAATACCCAATCGTGTTCAAGGAAATAAAAAAAAAAAGAAAAAACAAACGAAAAACATGATTTTTGCTTGCTCATAATTGGATGATTTAAAAGAGACTTATTGAACAAAAAAAAAATTATTATACTATGTACACCTATGTACTAGATAGGTACAGCATTGATCTGATGCTTTTTTTTTTTTTTTTAACTGCAGAAAATTGTTTAACCACTTTACAACTGCGCTACAGCACGGTTGCTCAGTTCTGGGAGGGCATCATATGACATCCTCCCACAACACACCCCCAGCGCCGTGCACCCGACGCTGTCTGTGATTGTGTGTCCTATGGACACAGCTGATCACATGACAGGGTAAAAGGCCAATCACAGAGGCCTTTTACCACGTGATCAGCTGTGTCCAATGACACAGCTAATCACAAAGTAAATACAGTTGCCGGTTTTCGCAGCGTGAGGAAAGTACTGCTGATAACCGGCAAGTGTCACAGAGGACATTTGCACTGGTAATCAGGGCACTATCAGTGCAGCCCCAAAAGCGCTCTTTTTTTTTTTTTTTTTTCGTTTATAGTGCAAACAATAAAAAACCCAGTGGCGATTAATTACCACCAAAAGAAAGCTCTTTTTTTTGTGAAAAAAATTATAAAATTGTCACATGGGTACAGTGTTGTATGACTGCGCAATATCATTCAAAGTGCAACAGCTCTGAAAGCTGAAAATTGGCCTGGGCAGGAAGGGGGTAGAAGTGCCCGGTAGGCAAGTGGTTAAAGCAATATACAAGACAAAGCAAACTTATCCCTGGCAGCATATGCTCACATTTCCTTTGCTTCCCTTTTACGCTGCTCAGCTGCAAGGAGCAAATAAACCACCCAGTACTTCAAAGTATGGAGGACTCACTCCCCTTCCTCTCATCCAATGAGTGCTGGTGATTGGCCCAGTTTAGGGGCAAGTAGAAAGTCCTCAGCCCTATGTAAGCTGTACCCTACAGCTCATTTTTTAGCTCCTGGTGGTTGAACAGAATGGTAGGGAGCAAAGAAGAAAGGTGGGAGAGATGGAAATACAGCAGAATTTAAACTACACATATGTGAGAAAACAACATTTCATCTGATGACCAAGGTGACAAATGCAGAAAATTATTAAATATTGATCACTATTCCTCTGCCTGGAGTATTCCTTTCAGATGATAAAGGACATTTTAGATCAATAGTTCCTTGTGATAAAGTGTTTGTGTATACAGCTTGGATTCCGTAGTGAATTATCACCTTTGACTCCCCGGTTGGAATTGGGTTGATTCATACAGTGCTAAATTTTTAAAGTGATGTGGGAAATCTCATACATTGCATATTTGAGGTTTGTTTTGCTTTTAAGTTATTTCTGTCCTCAAACACTAATTACTGTGTAGGGCAAATGGGATTCTACTTGCTAGTTTATTTAAATGTTGCAAGCTTGTAGAGCTTTTCATAGCTGTCCCCAAGTGGCTGCCCTCTTCATTTTATGACATTACTGCCACTTCAGTACTAATGTGACCATACATGGTGACCTTACAGAGCCTGAGACATGGAAGTTGTGGCTTAGCATAAAACTTGTCATCTACTGTCCTTGTTGGAATAAGATTTCCAATTTCTGTGTTTTGAGAGCTGTTGTAATAAGGAGATCTGCTTCTTTTTCAGGATTATTACTGATATGATGTGACATTCTTTTTTCAGCTTCTTTAACAATATGTTTTTACATTTTCATTGTTTCATTTCAGCATCTTAAAGGCATCTTTGCATCATGTTGACCCAGTTGTATCAGGTGTAGAGAAATATATATTCAAGGATGCAGCTTTTTTACTTCCATTTGACTATTTCTTCTATCTCTGCTTTCCATTATATTTGTATATGCTAGCTGATCAAATGATGTCTATATTGGCTTCAAATCGCTCTCCCCTAGTGATGTCATGTACACTCGCTCATTGTCATTAGACATGTCTCCAAGGTATTGTGAGCTGTATTACACACATCACATGATAGTGTTTTTGGTGGAAATAAATGGTCAACATTCCACTATTTTAGGAACAGTAGAGCTTTATACAGAGATTTAAAGCACGTTTGCTACAGTTGCCTATAGACATGTTTGATAGCGGATCCAATTGCTTGAATCAGCTGACCATCACATGTCTATGGGCAGTAGCAGGCTCTTAAGGTGGCCATAGATAGATTGATATTTGGTCAGTTCAGCAGGGACTGGACAAATTTCAATCTACGTGTGGCCACTGCAGTTGAACAGAAATCAATCTACCGATTTAGACTTCTGTTCAACCGCCTTGTCACATACAAGCAGCTAGATCAGCGGCTGCAGCACTGATCTGTGTATTCTGACAGCTCTATCAGAATACAATAGTGCAGCAGGGAGGATTCCCACATCCATCTTAAATGTGTGGATGGGGGAATCTGTTCAAAACAACATAACCATGCATGGCCACCTGTAGACCTAACCAATCAGTTGTGATTAGAGAACACTTTGTAATTAACCTTTTTCCCCAGGAATAACCAGGTGCCAGGAGGTGTGTGACTGCACTCCTTACTCTCCACTCCCTTAACAAGTATACTTGGCTGGCCTGAACATGCCTTTTAAAGACCAAAGGTTTGGCCTAATACATCTCCCAGTGTTCAAGTTGCACCTTTTGTATTTCACCATGCTCCATTGTCTTTAACATCTTTATGCTTTCACAAAAGCAA